GTTTGTAGAGAAATTCACGGGCTATCTAACGCTGTGTTTAGTTTGCCATTTCAGTGTAAGGTAGCTGAGGAAAATCTGTTGTACTGATCATATGGTGGCTTTTTAACGGTGCTTATTGAAATGCTATTGTTCAGGAATTAACCGGGTTTTACGTGACAAAAGTATCTGATTTTATCGAAAACGGAATAGAGGCACTTTTTTTACTACATATGGATCCATTTTCAGTCAAAAAAGAGAGTGGGCCGATGCCCGACCTTATGCGGCCCCCTCCTTTTTTGTATTTATTGTTGTATTACCGATTCCTATCACTCTTTCATATGGCAATTTCTCTACAAAAAAAATTTATGTGTCCTGAAAAACGACCGCACGACACAATACTCTTTACAGTATTTTCAACTTCACATTTGAAAAAAAACTCTTTCCTACAGTAACTCTTACATGTTCGTTTAAAGGTGTAATTCTTTCATTCAAAACTTTTGTATGTTTCGGTTCGTATTTTCCAGTTCTAGACGCCTCAGCCAAAATATTTTTTAAAATTATATCAAAAATACGGAGACGCAGGCGTAACAAATCCATAATATAATCTGTATATAGTTTAGGTAATTTTGCATATGTTTCTGGAAGATCCTTACAAATTGTCAATGAAAATTCATTTTCCCATCATCTCAAATATAGTAAAAAAAGGATGACAGAAAAGTATATACTTAATTACTCAATGGGAAGAGCAGAAAGAAAGAAATTCTTGCGGCGTGGATTTGATTGATCGTGGGATTGATAGCGTAACGACACGGCCTGATTAATTATCAACGGTTCATTCGGATCAAATATTTTGACATGTTTATTCAATATATCTAATAATTTTGTTCTGTGTGGTTGTGGATTATATTTAACTAATGCTGCAAATTCTGATTCCACTAATGGATCTGGTGGCGCTTTTGTGAGTGAGGATAGTGTTGTTGTCTCAATGTGATTAGATACATTGGTCTTCCGCCGCTAATGTCAGAATACCCAATGATGAAACATTAAAAATTGTGCGAGCCTTGTTTGTTGGATTAGCCGCTGATATCGTGTTAAAATTCAGATCCGGATAGGTGATACAGAAACAACAGCATCAGTAGATTCAGGTGCGACTATTAGTATAGTAAGCAGTAAATTTATTAGAGCAGTACATCAACAAACAATTTATCCTTGGTCATTAGCATGTGGAACAATAAATTCATTACAATTTTTACTTTTACTTTTAGTTTTAGATTATCAGAGGGTATCCACGGATGCCACAAGACTTTTGTTCTTTTTTGTGATATCCTGCTATGTAGTAAAATAAAATTTTATCTTATCTCATCTTATAATTTCATAAACACAAATAAGTTTTGTCCAAAAGGTGTCCGTCTAAGGAAATAGTTGGTTGCAAAGTGTAAGAGTGTGTAGTGACATTTTTCGATTAAATGGCACCAAAAGTTTTCTTTTCGCCGGAAAATGATATAGTTCGAGAAGAGTGTAACTCTTTTTCAACACCCGTTTGATCTGTATTGAAAATTTCTGGCGGATTGAAATGTGACGAAATTTTGTTATATTCCAAAACAAAGTCATGTTTCGACTTTTCAATGACATTTCGATTTTCGGCCTGATGATGCGAAACGAAATTCGTTACTTTTCGAGAAGTTAATTTATGTCCAGCTTTGAAATTTTCGATCCAATGATGAGACGCATAAAAATTGTTCACTTTCAGTTCTTTGGCTATTTTTCTTGCCCACCTTTGAATGTCCAGATCATGAACCAGAAGTCCTTTTTCTCGTGCTGTGGCTAGTTTTTTGTAAACTAGCTCGTCCACGTTCAGTGTCTTCTGTTTCTTTGTTCCGTGATGTTCCAAATACCGTCGAAATCTAGAGATATATTTCTGGTCTGGAACTGCTTTGAATCGATGGCGAATACTTTTTCATGTATGGGAACATTTGCCAAATCTGTTTGTTTCATCGGCAAAATCAATAGCCTGAAGCATAAAGTCTTCTGAATAATTTTTCAGATTATATTTGTCAATCGCTTTTTCTTTATCTTGCCAATCTGGATCAGCCTCTTCAGTTGCTGCCTCTGTTTCGCTTCCCTCTTCTCCTTCTTCTTCACTATGTTTTTCGTCCGACATTTCTCCGAGGTCCAAAGTAATTTCTCCGTAATAGTCAAATTTTGGACCTTTTGAAAGTAACGCAATTGTATCTGCTAATTGTTCGGCCATTTGATGCTCCTACATTGTCACTGGAGATGGTTGATTCATGGTTAAACTTGTAGCAACTAATTGGTTCAAAATCGAAATAACTTTCTAAGGGTTCATTGTTCCCAATGAACGAAATTCCTAAACTTGGCTCACTCTTATCAACCGAATAAAGCGTGAGAAACTTCGTGTTATATTTAAAACACAGTATGTTAGGTCAGGTATACGTTGTTGTGTATAAGTAGTTTATTTAGAAACTGAACACGATCCTTTTGCACAAAAATAGCGTATATTTATATCAAAGTTTACACGAAAAGCGGAATATTCTAGAGTTGATGTACTAGACTGGGAAACTGTGGATACATGTAAGCGATCACAGAAAATAAAGAAACCAAGAACTAATACTGGGGGAATTCCTCATAGAAAGAAAGAGAACGAATATACATACATATATATATATGTATGATACCTATCATACAATTCTCTCTTGCGGCACGTCTTTAATATGTGCCATAACACAATAATCTTCAGAAAAGCGAAAGAAACTAATACTTGTATCGATTTGACCTAATGCCATTTACACATTGTTCTTTTCTTCTTTCTTGTAGCAAAATATTACTCAGGTTCGCTCCCTCGATTTTATCAACATAGCACTTTTAATCCTCGATTTCCTTAGTAAACCCTTGCTTCTCCTTTCCCTATATTTCAACCAACTTGTTTATAGAAATAACCGTCAAATCAGAAAAATCATTCAAGGTAATTCATTCAAATTGTCTTTTAATTCGTTTTTTTGATCTAGGCATGTCGAAAAACTGCTTCATACGCGTAAAAGATTTTTGTATCAAATTATTGTCTCCGTCAAATCCAAATCTTTAGCTCTTCTAAGGACTGAAAACAATGGAATATTCGAATTTGGCACGTTCGATAACCTAAAAAACAGTATATTTATCGCACAAAACGCATAAGTGCAACAGCGCGTTTTCCAAAAGTGTAGTTTTAAGTTTTAGTCTTTCAAAACCCGCTCAAAACCTCCTCTAAAACCTTGAAAAACAGTTTTACGTGGGTTTGGCGATATGCTCTTTCATATTCACGGATCAAAACATTTTTTTATTGTAAATGGTTTTTCGACCTCAAAACCCAGTAGATAAAATTCTGACTCCGTCACTGATGAAAACTTCACAAAATATTTTGGGTAATGGTCAATGTGTCAAGGTTCTCGAATATAATTTAAATTTATTCAAGATGTTATTCCATTTCATCATGTTTCCACTCTTATTTCCATTTCTATAGAGAATGTGTTCGGATCCAGAGCCATGACAGTATTAATATTTGGTTCACCTGTTAACAAGGCATATTTACTTTCCAACAAACAGCTCTCATTCACCACACGCAAACTATTGTTGCCGTTTTTAACTTGAAATGTACCATTATTTGACCAAACAAGAACACTATAAGAGTTTCTCAGTTCTACGTTAATTGGAACTTTCACCCATTCCAATGTCCCAGTTCCATGCCCAGTTGATTTTTGAATTAACTTTTGATTTTGGTCTAATATATAAATAATAACTGGACCATTTACGGCTACTTTTACGTGGACTGCTGTGAGGTTAATTGGCTTAGATAGTTGAAATTGATAACCACGTGGATGATCAACACGATATGTCATTTCGGTACCTGTTGAGATGGACAAATTCCAAGTAACGTTTGCAATATCCCTTTTTTCAAAACATACTAACTCTGATAGTTCGGTCTTGATTAACCTGAATTTATCATTTTGAAACACTAATCTCTTTTCTACGATCGGAAGTTTCGGTTTTTCTACATTATGAAATTTCAGAGATAAAGCATTTCTCTGCTTCAATATCTGACAATGATCATTAGTATTACGTAACTGATTTATAAAATGCTTTCTAATTTTGAGCACTTTGAGTTGTTCATTAACACTGTGTTGCTCTTCTTCTAACTTAGATGTTGTTTCTGCTACTTTTGTTTCTAGTTCATGTGTTAATGTTGTTTGACGATCAGTTAATAAACGATGTAACGAGTCAAATGTTCTTTCAATGTCAGTTTTTCCAGTGCGGTGCATAGCATTTTATTTCTGAATAAGATCGTTAATTCTGTCTAATTGTTGGCCAAATTCTTTTTCTATTAAGTCAAGTTCGTGAAGCGATGCTTGCACTTTTGTTTTAATTTTACTTGCAGCATCCTGAAGAGAAACATATGGATGATTTTTATGTGTCAATAAGGCACAATCACGGCAGAGAAGCAGTTCACACTGTTCGCACCAATACTTGAATTTTTCATCTGGATGATCACTACAAAATGTAGACGTTTTTTCAGCTAATGACACAACGGTGTGGGAATGGAATGCTTTTATGTTATGTACAGATTTCATACACAAATCACAATAATGATTAGTGCATTTCTCACACCAATGTAAAGCTAATTTGTCAATGCAGTTATCACATTTGAGTTCTTGCCGATCACGGATTGAGGTTTCACTCATTTTTGAAACGAATTCAACCATATCCTTGACTGCACGATTTACAGGTAATGTAGTGAGATCATTTTGGTTCACACGTGTTCCATCTCGTAATGGACACTGAAAGACGCCATTCTTCACAGTCATTTTCTGTATACATTTGAAGCAGTATGTGTGCGAACACGGTAGAATACGTGGATCTTCGTAGTAATCTAAGCAAATTGTACATGTAACAAGGTGTTCAAGCTCTTTTCTGGAGAGCTCGTTTGATGTGGCCATATCTGAAATGAAATAGACAGCCGCTTATTCGCTGTAGAAACCTGTTATGTAAAACTGCAATATACTACGTTCTGGCGAACTTAGAAATACGTGCGCGCACATCCTATATTCAGAAGATTCGTATAGCTCTGTTCTGTCTGAACAAAAACGATAGAGAAGAAAAGGTAACGAAGAAAATGCATCATTTTAGAAAAAAAAGGAACTATACGATTTTTGAAAAGTCGATATGAATACGAAGTTAGCTCAGATTTTTTTCGTCTGCCGTGCAAGGAAAAAGTAAAGGTACCTCATGCTGTAAAATTCCTGACAATCGTTGGATGATTATGAAACTGCTAGAGAAGACAGCAGTTTGTAATGCAGACGACAGATCAAAAGAGATAGAATTGGTGATCCTTCCAGCACGAATTTCGTGTATATAAATATAGCAAAATGTCAAAATTTCGTCAAGGTAATTTCACTCCGGTAGAAGAGTTATCTGGCCGCGCCGATGATCGACACTGATCATCTATTCCGATATCAATTTTTCTGAGCACTATTTACGCAAGCCATATGTACTGTTTTGATCATTTATAGCATGTACTTCACAAGTTAACGATAGTAAAGAAACCGCAATCTCTCACCTTTCCGTGGAATGAATAGCGCTATTCTAGAAGTGACAAAACAGACTCTTCAAAATCAAGTTGATAACCGGAGAATGTGTTTAACAAGAGACCAAAATATTTTAACGCATCAGTTCACTACCAGAACATAGAAAAAGAAGAAACGAACTGAACACATTCGACAATGGAGAATAAACTGTTACTCCTCTATTCTCAGCTTCAAACTAGTCGAATATTGCTGTTTCGAACATTTCCAGTATGTTCTCAGTATAGTCAACATATACCAGTATAGGTAACAAAACATGACAGAAAATATCTGAACACATACTTAGAAAGCGCTTCGAACGTCTAAATCACCTCTTCTCCTTCTTCTAAAACTTAATTGGTTTACATTTACTTTTCAAGAATAAAAGTTCCTTTTATTTTCATTTAAATAAAAATCATTCTATTTAATAGAACGTTTTTTCCTACCGAGATACTTCTCTAATCCGACATTTAACAAAGTTTTTGTGAAAACTTGAATCGTAAATTGAAACTCTAGACCCGATCGATAAGAATCTTTCTCTGAAGTTGGAAGAAAATTCAAAATGACCTTAACTACACGTAAAAGCAAATAAGTCGCTCGGCACCTCCTCGGAGTATTTTTACATAGATAAACAGCCGAAAGCGTTGGATTCAAAATGGGAATCAAGCAAAATCTTGATTTTTATTCGTTTCTATGTACCGTATGATTTCCCGAGCCTCCGAACCAGTAGCTAGTGACTTGAGCTCATCATCATCATCATCGGTCGTGCTTTTGAGGCGCGGCCAAATATGGGCCTTAATCATTTTCTTTGTGTCAACAAACTCTGTGATATTATTTCATCGAAATCGAGTCGTTTCGTATACTGCATCAAATATGCCTGCGAAGCGAAAACGAGTTGATTTCGATCACCAACGGCCTCAAGGACGGGCTGAAGGATTGTGTTATCCTTCACACCTTTCTTGTTGGTGTTATTTGTATAGAAATTGTATAGATCTTGTATTGATGTCACTTGTTGACGATATTGTTGCCCACAAATGGAAAAAAATATACAGACGTACGGCGTGTCAAACAGCTGATTTCAATGCAAATGTTGGTCGTTACCTTATTTGTTTTGGCTGCATTTTCTTTATCTTTATCTTGTTTTAATGAAGTACATTTTGTTTTTTTAAATGTTTATAAAATCTTGATATTTGAAAACCTTCCTCACTACTATCTTTTTCCATTGGCAAAAATATACATACATGGTATTTATACATGCTTTTCTCCAGATTAAACAAACTTCAAAACATCAGTTTTTCAGAAAATTTGCTTTTTTCACTGTACTAAAATAAAAACCTTCTAGAACCTTCATTTCTCAACCGGAAATTTCCGGATTCGCCGGTTTTTCAGAATTTGGAGGTTTTCTACCAGACCAAAGCGTTTCTTCTCAACAAATCTTACATATTCGAAATCAGCGTCGAAAATTGCGTCGAATGGTATATGATTTGTCACGAAAGAAATTTTTAACTCGATTTTTGGACTGCGGGCACCTTACTTATTTCCCGACGAGCCTCTTAGTTACTTCCTGTGATATGCAGGACTAGTAAAACCATATGGGAACATAGCTTATCGACCATCTGGGTCATCACGATGATGTCTGTTTTCTTTCTGACCGTGTACTTCCGGATCGCAAAAAACGATTTTATGATCGAACCTTGCTATTTAGTTGGGAACAAAATCTACATCACCATGATTGTCAGGATGGTCGATAAGCTATATTTCCATGTGATTTCACCAGTCCTGCGTGCCACAGGAAGAAAGTAAGAGGCTATTTGGAAAATGAGTACCACCGAGTTTCTCCAGAAACCCACAACCATATACGTTTGAGAGCATGCTGTCTACTATCAAATAACGAAATGATACAATTTTTAGAACTTTGTGTTTAGTAATCATAGAAGATCTTCTAAGATCCGTCGACATCGGTCAAAAACGCTTGTAAAACCTTCAGGTTTCTGAGCTTTTCCAAAACAAAAACTGTTTCTAAATAGCTAAAAGTGAACTCTGTAGAGTGAGCTTGTTTAAAGGATTACATGATTACAGCGAATATTTTTAATTCCAATATTTCCGAAAGCCCTCTGTTTGAAAGCCCAGTTTTCCAGAAGTGCATTATGAAAGTAAAAACCAAAGCAGATTGATATCGCCATTGGAATCTGCATGTCTGAAAACCTCCAGGCTCTGAGATTTAGCCTGAAATCTTCATTTCAGTAGGCTGTATCTCAATTTTTCCTGTATTGGAAAGACGCTCATTGAAGCAGTTACTCTTGCACCGATAAATTATGTGGACAAACACATTGTTTCTCAAAATACACACTCGATAGTATATAAGTCTGTTAAGAAAGGAGAATGTAAAAAATTGTGAAAAATGGTTTGGAATGGGCTAGAATGGTCTACTTTTTTCCCGCTTCCCTAGCCCCCTTGCTTTGATACCTCATCATATCCATGTTACCCAGATTAAGAGGAAGTCCTGCTGAAACAGAGTTTAAAATTATTACCGTTTAATTCAGCACGGAATAAATAAACATTGTATTTATTTAACTATTATAAATGACCTGGATAACGAATACCTCTCTAATTTAGTAGAAGAAGTTTTACAGCAGCTTTCACTCTCTTTATTCCATTCGACATGTTTTGAAGTTTAAAGCTTCATTTTCAAGAAGTTCTAAATATAACATTTTAAAAATCGAAGTAAATAAGACTAAATTTTACAAAAAACTAAACACGCATATCATTTGTGCTATTTCTAGGTCAATAGAGAAAGAGACAAAAACCTCTCACATGTCCAAAATGGAAAAAGTAAAAATTTTTACTTCTTCGCCAAATCCCCGTGCATGGGTCGATCATGCTATCACAGCTTTCATTTTCACCTTGGGTCTTTGAGCCGGTAAGCCTTCAGGAAACACTAATAGTGGAACAGAGTTGACTGTACGATTTAGTTCAGGTTGTAAGAGTTTAATAGCCAAAGATTCGCGTATTTTCAATCGATATCGATGTGGGTCTCTACTTAAGATCTTCACTCCGTTCCAATTGGTATGATGTTTATTTTCTATTTCATGTTTGATGGGAGCAGACGTGGTTGTTCTGTCTGTTTGTGTTTGTTCTTCTATGTCTTCGTCAGGTGGATTGTAAGTTGTTATTTGTTTCATTTTTCTACTTGAACGACGAAAAGAGACTTGTAAATTGTTAGTCGCTGTTGAATTATTTCGTGCAGTTGATACAGACTTGTTTATTTTTGATTTACCGTGTTCGTTAAAGATCTTAAGTAGAGACCCACATCGATATCGATTGAAAATACGCGAATCTTTGGCTATTAAACTCTTACAACCTGAACTAAATCGTACAGTCAACTCTGTTCCACTATTAGTGTTTCCTGAAGGCTTACCGGCTCAAAGACCCAAGGTGAAAATGAAAGCTGTGATAGCATGATCGACCCATGCACGGGGATTTGGCGAAGAAGTAAAAATTTTTACTTTTTCCATTTTGGACATGTGAGAGGTTTTTGTCTCTTTCTCTATTGACCTATTGAAGATAAATAAAAATTGTAATTAAAGACTTAGATCAGTGGCAGTTCGGTTGAATTTTATGTAAGATGCGCGTAATTCGAAGTTACGTGGTTTAGACAGGTACATAGAAGGCTCTATAGACAAAACAAAACATTGATTTTAATAACTATCAAAAATAAGAAAAGTCGAAAATAATTAATCCAGTGTATGTACACAAAAAGGTCCAAAATGAATCAGAGTGGATTTTCTGCTTCGGCTGGTATCATTTGAATATGATTTGAATGCATGATGGGTCGTGTTACATGAACTGTATCACATTTTGCAGTAAATTCGGCTATATCACCGGAATAGTGAGGATATGCATTTCTTAATGTTTCTAGACTGACATCTTCAGAGCTTTGGGTTTGAAAATTAAGCTGAAATGGTGGAATAGCTGAAACAGTTAATTCATCATCCAATGACCATAGATGGCTGCTTCCCGACTCATTTCAAACTTATAGACAATAGAAATATTGCAACTCGAACAAAGTGTGTTATTGTTTCTTTACTGAGATACTCCCTGTTTGGAAAATATCGCGACTTCAGTGAAGGAGGAAGAAGGGCAAAATCTTAGCAAGTCAAATCGTCTAAAATGTTCAGAGGGTTCAACACCACTGATTCTTACTAGGGAAAGCAAGCATGTACGCAAAAACTACATTGATCGAATCAAGCGAAATGTACCGATACACTCTCTGTTCTTATTCACTATGTAGAATGAATAAATATAAAAAGGTAAAATACAATTAATTACCCAGGTCCATAATTACGACCGTCCTATACGATCGTATACGTCAAATCACGACGACGTAATTTGACGTATACTATAGTATATCGTCGTATTTTGACGTAAACCTGGCCAACGTGTTACGTCAGCCGTTACGGTCGTCGTATTTCCACGTAAATTACGTCGTTTACGATGGACGGTTGGCCGGGTTTACATCAAAATACGACGATATACTATAGTATACAGTCGTGAATCTTTGACCTGGGTACTCGTCCTATTTTACATAATAACGTAAAACCAATTTTATTACTTAAAGTAACATGGATTGTGGAACGTTCATTCACCCATTTTAAAACGTAATTCATTTTATCACACGCATCGGAGTAGAAAACGTCGAAATCGAATTCATCGGCTTTTATCAATTGTTGACCAATTGCATAGGTTCATGCCAATCGTGCACGAAAATTCAACGCTCGTTTGAAGGGTTGTAACGAATCGAATAAAAACAATTTTTTCCCGTTCAAATCACTGATTTTCATATTTTCAAAATCATTCAGTTCATTTGACTTCGATATATCTGCTGGTGCAAACTGTTCATTTGATTGACTCTGATAATAATCTTTGATCTTTTTGACACGATCATTTGGAGAAGCTAATACATAAACATAAAATTCTTTATCATCAGAATTTTACACAATACAAATCATCGATCGGTCAAGTATATATTCAATTGCTTTTAGTAATAGCAAACAATTTTGTGGATCATGAATATTTTTCATCATCATTAACGACTCAATATAATCCTTCCATTCGGCACGAAAAATATGGGCAGCCACTACACATCTAGGACTGGCTGTTTACCGTTACTGTTACTAATAACAAGTAACGAAACTGTTACTAGTAATTAGTAACAAAGTAACAAACTAGCATCTGATGTTACTAATTACTAAAAGGTTGGAGATAATGAGGTTGTCATGTTCAAACATGGACATTCGAGTGTATTCCGATACAAGGCTTGCAAGCTTTTGTACGTAATTAACGACGGGGTTTGTACAGTTATTTGTTTGTTTGTTTAATTTTATTCGGCAATTAATACAAGAGATGTTATATTAGAACTTTCAACAAAAACGTTAACATGAGAACAAGAACAAAACCATATTGCCAAGACAACAAAAAGAAGTGCTTAGCACCTATAATACTTTTGCTACCTTTACACTAACTCCATCATATCTGCAGATGTTGGCGCAAACGAATTTATCAACTCTTTAATGGTGAGAGAGCTCACTGTAGCCTCAGGTAGGCTTGTATTCCACTCACGTTATCAAAAGCACGTGTTAGGCTTAATAATTGTCATTCGTAAATGGCAGATGCAAGTCAGAGACAGAGACGCAAGCACATACTCTTGTACTTTTCAAGTACAAAATACAAGCAACGACATATAAGACCAAATCAGCACACACATAAGAACCCAGTGGTTGAAGAAATGCGTACCATAGGCAGCACCATCAGCTGAACACAAACATGCCGCACGACTGAGTTGTTTCGATCATGACTTCTGTCTATTTTCTTTGGCACAGTGGTGCCATTTTAGTTTCATAGTGGCAATGGAAGATGAACCAGAGGAGAAAGAAAATGATGAATCAGCTGTTTCAATTGCTTATTTATTGTCTTCGACGTCGTTGCTAGGTACAAAACTTCAATGTTTACAGGTGCCTCAGAAATTCTGGATACAGGCTTTCGCATAAACCATATGAAATAATGCAGATGTATGAGCAGCGTATGTGGAGCTTTACCATCGACGATGTTTGCGTCATACTTTAGGTTCCTTTCGCATTCTTTTCCTCCTCACCTCGCCAAATACTCAAGCTCGAACTCAGACCATCCTTAGCAGCTTTTTCTACAAAACTGCTCGTGAGTGGAATACAAGCCTACCTGAGACTTTAGTGAGCTGTCTCACCACTGAAGACTTCAAAAATTCGTTTGCGCCAACATCTGCAAATATGATAGAAGTAGTGTAAAGGTAGCAAAAGTATTAAACAAGCTCAAAAGTCGGAACCAATTTCGAAATTTTTGGCTTATCGTGCTTACCTCTGTTCATGTATAATTAGATCATAATGCCTGCAAAAAGCAAACCTAAAAAAAGTTAGCAGATACAGTTTTTTGTGATAAGACGAATCTAAATGTAAACAGCGCCCTCGCGAACAGATTTCATGCGCTTCAACTTTTTAGAAGCGTCTCCACCAAAGAACAATTTTAATACATTTAACCTAAAAGAAGTTAGCAGATTGAGCCTAAGCGTAAATAGCCCAATGGTACTTCCATTCAGGTCCACCCACCATTACGTTACCTCTGAGCCCCGAAGATCTCAATATCGCCATCGTGTACAGCATAAAAGTACCCCGTGGAACATTAGGAAGTCAAGATCTTGGATTCTTGAATCTTTCACTCAAGATCTTAAAATATCTTGGCTTACTTCACTTAAGATCTTGGCCAAGATCTTCGGTTAAGAAATTTCAAGATCTTGAGTGCTGTCATCCAAGATGTTTCAAGATCTTGGATTCTTCAGTCTGTCAGTCAAGCTCTTGCAACATCTAATTAATGGTTTCACTCAAGGTCTTGGCCAAGATCTTGAGTGAAATAAGCCAGAATGTTTCAAGATCTTGACTTCCCGGTGTTTTTTCCAAGATCTTGTGACATTTCTTAAACCAAGATCATGAGTACAAGAAGTTTTACTGTGGAGGAGAATAGGTCACAATCTTTCAACGAGGAATGCATCGAATAATCCGACGTTGTTAGCATCTCCACGTGTTGTTATATCGCAGTTTTATATTTATGATGCTGAAGTCTTTGAATTATTATCAAATTTAGACAAATCAAAATCTTGTTTTTGTTTTTTTGTTTTATTTTGCAAATAACTGTGACCATTTATGGTCTTTACAGTACAAGAGTGGGAAAAAAACGTTATAGAAAAGTAGAGAAGTAAGATGACAAGCTATATGAATGAGTCAACATCTGGAAACAATAAGTTATCACAGGCTTACGATTCGAAGTGAAGAAAGAGAAATTTTAAGACCCAAAACAAGAGTTGAGAGATAACGAAAAATAACAAAAACATTTAAGTTATTTAGATCAAAAAGAATTTTTTTCTGTTTTTATACAATTATTCGTTTAATTACAGTTTTGTTTAAATGCACATATAAAACGTACTGAATAGAAAACGTAGGGAAGAAGTAGTGATTAGAATGTTTCGGGAAACTCGCTTAAGATTTGAATTTCGTCTATGTCATAATTTAAGATTGATTCATTCGAGGAAATGAGTCCTCGAATGTTTCTGGTACTGCTTCTCTTTCAAAAAATATCTTACTGACTATTAGAAGTCGTTTTTGATCACCAAAAGACGAAGAAAGAGCGGAAAATTGCCTTATACTAGATATGAAACATTTCATAGAATTGGTAGTAAAACCGCCTCGTATCTGTAAAGGATTATCAGTCCATACAAGTAAAACTATTTTTAATTAGAAATATATATCGTAATAGGGAGCACTGGAAAAATAGGTTTGTCCTTACCAGAGATATTCAGACTATGTGTACACAGCCATGATTATATATACATTGATCTCACTAACAGAGAATATCATATATTGAATTCTATTAACTCTGCTATTTTGAGCATATTTGTTCTTACAATTTGTACAAATTCATTGAATGAATAAACATCGCATCTATCTTCTGTAATTTTGTCATGAGCATTGTCCAGAAGTGAAAATATTGCGTTCATAAAATGGACAACCAAAACTGTTATCTAAGTAAATAGACATTTGATGACTGAGCGAAACATAATGTGAGTAGAGTAATTTATCTTTTGATAAATTAATAAACCTGTCTCTCTGCTGTAGACACCTTTAATTTTTGATGGTAAAACAAATTTTTTTTCCGTCCTCCATACAAACATACTTATTTGTAATAATGTAATAGAGTCATATTAATCATCAGTTTTTCAATATAAAGCGAATACCAACCGATACACACAATGGTATTAGGCACACCAAACAGTGTCAGGTGCACGTACGTTTAAATACCAGTCATGATTTTTATTTCTATTGGTTTGATTCTTGAATACAAATAAGAAACTCACAAACATTCATTTTTAACAGCTCAATTGTGTCGGTGTCCTTAGAATTTGGACATTCCCCATTCGATGAGACTAATTTGAGTTGTAAAGCACAATCAGTATAAACATCGTCGGCGTGTAATGCAAGGATTTTATAATTGATAAAATTGTTAAAAGTAATTCCACAAGACTGACATGTTGTTTGGAAAATAACAGTCATTTTGAGGCTTAATAAGTATGTTATTATCAGCAGTACACAAAATCAATCGATCATCTGGTTAAAATGACAATGTCAAAAGTGATGTTTTATTGCGATAATAAGCCAGTGATTTATAGGAAAATAAGGATAAAACACATGGGCTAGAAAACTGTGTACTGAAAGCAATGACAACTGTCAAAGTCGTGCAAAAAAATGTGTTACATATAGATCTGATTGTCACTCTACCCGACCATCTCGACGATTTATGAACACTTCGCCGACGTGCAATAACGAGTCAAAATACAGTAAATAGAAGATGCAATCCCTTCATGATGATGGCCATTCGAAAGCATATTCCTAGAAATAAGCCTGGTGCTTTTCACCTTATAAAGTTTATAGAACATTTTATACTTCCTGTAATTAGCACAAACGTCAAAATGATCGTTGTTCTCCAAACAACATGTCAGTCTTGCGAAATTAATTTCAACAGTTTTATCAATCATAAAATCCGTGCATTACACACCGACGATGTTTATACTGATTGTGATTTTACAACTCAAATTAGTCTCAATGGAAAATGTTTCAGCTCTGTCAGAAAGGCTTATTTTAAGTAGTAAGTGTCGTAAATCAGTTAAATCATTTTCTTTCTCGAACAGATTTTCTTTCAAATATTTGTACACATCTTTCAAATCATATTCAATTTCATCACATAGACGAAGTTTTACTACCCATATTCCATTTGCCATTATTAAGCCGTTCGGTTGAGCCCCTGAGTCAGCCGGGCCTCTGTGCTATAGCACAATTAGCACATAGGATAAGAAGGCACTGAGCAAATCCCTTTAATGATGCAAGATGAGTCTCGATCTCGATATCAAATATAATCCGCTGTATTGCCTTAGGTGTACTAGCGCCAGCAAATATTTCTGCAACGATTTTATTTTTACTTGCCGATAGAAACGAATTGATCGAAATATATTGTCCGATAGTTTCAGTTATATGTTCAAATTCATCCATTGACATCATTTGTCCTCGATGAACGTGGGATATTGAACCGTGCCATTGTTGTTGTTCGCAAGGAGCGCACCATGATGTACATTTCTCTAACAACGACGTATGTGCAACAAATCTTTTAGATCTAAAAACTCCTTTGACACTGTGCTCTTTCTGACTCCAAGTCTCTCTAAAAACAATGAAATTCGCCTCCTTAAAGGTTAATTTACCATCAACAGTATCTGACAAGGCTACAAAATATTTATTCCAATATTTACAACACCGGTCTTCCAAAGAAGGTTCATTAGATGCATAAGAAAAGAAGTTATCCCTCCAATGAAGACAGTACGTAATCCTTCTTAAGCACGTACTATAAAAGTGATTTAAATCTTGCTGCTGTTTAATAGTGAATAGTGGATAGAGGAAATAACCACACGAACAAAGGAAGAACATATGAGAGAAACAAAGCTTTTCTAAGAGATGGAGAAGTGAATCCAGCGAAACGAAAAGAGATAATCATGGCAACCCTTTGACGAATTTTTATCATTGTCTTTTTAATCAACACACCAAAACCCCAAGTAGGAGTAATGATATAACTTAAATATTTAACCACTTCTGTCTATAATTTCCTTAGTTTTCTTGATTGAAGTTCTGAAATTAAAAGTTTAGGTACGATTTTGTAGAGAATTTCACGACGCTTTTGTTAAAAAAAGAATTTGTTCTAGGGGACCTAAGGAACAGGAGTTAAAGGAAAAATACCGAGACCGGATTCACGGTTAATTTTTCTTTTTTGTGAAGCACATTTCTAAGCCTATAAGTTTCTTATTAGATGAGCTAACGGGGTCAATCAATCGTCATTTTGTAGAGCGTTTTTTACTGCATCTTTTCTTCATAGAGACAAATACAACCACTTGTTTCACTATAGAAAAATTTATTATACAAATCGAGTCAGGACTTCTGGCCCACCCTTTATGGCCTAGTTGCAAAAACATATAATATTTTTAATGAGTCAGAAGAAAGATACGTAACTGATATGATTACGAAAACACATTCTTAAGTAATATCAATTTTGATCGACGTAGAATTCATCCTTGGATTTTGCATATCGACGGATGTTTTTATAAAGTTTTAATATACTACAGCAGAAATACACTGGTTGGAACAAGCCTTTAGAACTCGGTCCCTCCAACCTAGCCCTCAAAGCCATTTTAGCGAAACTCACAATTCGCAGACTAGACTATGATAGTACACCTGGTGTAGTTCAACAGTATACTAGGGGGCTGCAGAATCATCCAGTTCTGATGAAGAAAATCATTCCTCAGAATGGTCATTTTGGGGCAAAATTGCAACTTTCAAATCTTCTGTATTGAAAACAAAAGCACCTGAGGCCGTCAAACTTTTATCAAATACTCTTTGGCATATAATCTATTTGGAAATGTGGCTGATAGTCTCACGGTCGGCTTCGTTTCAAATAGCTGCTACAAGAACATTCAGGGTTTTCTGGATTTGCGCCCTTAGTGCGCAATCTATTGCAAAATAACGAAAGCATGTTTTATGCTAGCAGTTGCGCGGTTTTGTAATGGACCCTGTCTACTACTTACAGTAAAATCTCTAAAGTTAAGTATCTGTCGTTACTGATTTGCAAGAATTTAAAGTTTGGCAAATTTTCAAGATGGCGGAATCTACGTGCTCGACACAGTGGACATTTTTTGCTTGAGCAGGCGGACTTTAGCTTTATGAGCGAAATAAAATTTCATGAACCATTTTTTTATAGGTTTTTCATGATCCTCTTTCGAATGGCATGAGAGTTAGCTTTTGAAAAAGTTTTCT